TATTTATTATTATTTATTATTTATTATTATTTATTATTTATTATTATTAATTATTATTATAATTAATTATTAATTATTATTAATTATTATTATAATTTATTATTATTATTATTATTAATTATATTCTCATAGTCGCATTCATTACCATCAATAGAGCATTAATATTTTGCTTTAATGTTTGCAATATCGTATATCATATATTGCTCTCGTCGGCCATATATTAGTGATAACTTCACGTAAAAGTGTAAAACGAAATAATTGTGAAGTGACTCTCAAATACCGAGCTAGGGTTGCCTGCAATAAAATAAATACTGTATGACTGCTAGATACAGGGGCGAACATACGGAGCCGTCTACATTCGTAGCCAACAATAATTGTTTTATTCGAATTATTAAAACATATTTATTGCTTCATATAGGAATATTGCCGTTTTGAATATGCATTTTAATCCATGCTAACAATTATTAAAATGTTTAAAATGTTGTCAAAACTATTACAAAAACATTTACGGGTGACTGTACCGGATTGAAAGCGCTCCGCCAACCGCGAAATACTGTCGCTGTAACTGTCCCTGCTCCACTTGTATCCTTTGCGTCCGCAATCGCGAAAAGAAGTGTTCCGGGCGCGAAAGCGTGCCGAGTAGCAGCAAGTGCATTGTAGCGGGTTGTGCGCGTTGTGCGCAGTGAACACGGACAACACGGAGGGCGCCATCGGCTTCGTGTCGCGCATCCTGCCCAGCTTCTACCCGATCTCTGTGATCCGCGTGGACGCCGCGAGCGGCGAGCCCCTTCGCGGGCCCGACGGCCTCTGCTCGCCCTGCGCGCCGGGCGAGCCGGGCGTCTTCATCGGCAAGATCGTGCCGGGCAACCCGGCGCGCGCCTTCCTGGGCTACGTGGACAAGGAGGCGTCGCGCAAGAAGGTGGTGCACGATGTCTTCCGGCGCGGCGACTCCGCCTTCATCTCGGGTGAGCGGCCTCCAGATCCTTCCTCTCCTCCATTCCCCCAGAGTATTTCTCTTTACATTCGTCTTCCTGTGGGCACGTTTCGTCTTCCTATGGGCACACGTTTCGTCTTCCTATGGGCACACCGTTTCGTCTTCCTATGGGCACACCGTTTCGTCTTCCTATGGGCACACCGTTTCGTCTTCCTGTGGGCACACCGTTTCGTCTTCCTGTGGGCACACGTTTCGTCTTCCTATGGGCTCACGTTTCTTCTTCCTAGGGGCACACCGTTTCGTCTTCCTATGGGCACACCGTTTCGTCTTCCTATGGGCCCACCGTTTCGTCTTCCTATGGGCACACCGTTTCGTCTTCCTATGGGCACACCGTTTTGTCTTCCTGTGCTGAGGGACCTACAGAAAAACCCTCCTAACAGAGTTGGACTCTGATTGATGCAGTGTCGTTTTCTAAAATTCCTGTATATCCTTATTTAGTTACTTGGCTCAGCTTTTGTTTTGTGAAGTCTTAGAATGGAATTAATTCTAATAATTAGTAACATTTGAGAAATCCTTTTTATAGTTTGGACTCATTAATTTTAAAAATGTTTATCTTCCGTTGCTTGCTAACAAATTACTATTGATGGAGAAGTATGTTCAAAATATGATAATTTTTTTCTCTTTAGAAAGATTTAATTTCTGTTCGAAGTCATTAATATTAATTTTCTGAGAAAGTTTAATTGTAATAATATGGAAATAGTAAACATATTTTTTAAATTCATATTTGCTTGTAAAAGATAATATTATTTATGCATTTTTATGTCCATTTTAGGTGATATCTTGGTATCGGACAAATGGGGATATCTGTTCTTCAAAGACCGGACAGGAGACACATTCCGATGGAAAGGCGAAAATGTGTCAACGACAGAGTTGGAGGCTGTTATTAGTAACTTAATTGACTATCGTGACTGCGTTGTATATGGTGTTCAGGTAAGTTTGTCCTCGCTTCCAATACTGCCCATTATGTATACTCGCACAGCCTTCTAAGTACAAAATGTGCTTATACTATCTTGTTTCACGTATTTTAATTAATCTTTTAGTTTCAAAATGTACGATTTTACAGCGTGTCATTTAGGACAAAATATATATATCGTATACACTTCAAACTATACAGATTTCATAAAAAATAAATGTTCAAACTGAAAACTTTAAAGTATCAATGACATTTTAATATCGCGTCATAATCATCAAGAAAGTCATTGTTGTGCCAAGCCAGATGTCCAGTGAAATATGCAACTCAGTAGACATAAAAATCTATCAAAACAATATTTTCTGTGACTTAACTGTATCTATATAACTAGAGGCTATAATGAGAATAAAAAAAGGAAAATGTTGATTGTAACGATGATATTTAATGTATTAGCTACAATTTGTAATGTACAATTGTAAAAAGACTAAATATGCATGTAACATGAATACAAGCTACAGCTTGTATGTCAATTATACCCAACTCGATCAAGTTCTCATCAAATGTTTCCTGTGTCTTTGATCAAATACTGAACCCTTGTTTTTTTCTTGATAAAAAAGTATCTTCACTATATATGCACGGTTTCGTAAGCTCGGGAGGGAGGGAGCGAGTGTCAAATAATCTTCCTCCATGTTCTCGTGTCAGTAACTCGATTTCTTCAAGTAGGGTATTATAAGGGATAATATCCCAAGCCTGTAGCTTATCTGCCGTTGCAAATCAGTTTGATTACACACATGTTAGCGAATATTTTTTTTACGAACGCTCGTTTCTACCTCTTATTCAACTTAATATGCGTGTGAGTTTGGGTGAACAAGTTTGTACTTCTCCCCATAGTTACACTCCATCACACACCACTGATTTCAAGGAAATAAATATTAGCCTCTTACCAGAATATATGCAACAACCAACATGTTCATTTCCCAACGAAATATAAACAATGATCGAAATGTACATCAAGCATTTTCAGTTGCATTTGTTTATTCTATCAAGTGCAGGGCTTACCTACAAATCCTCTACTTCCGAAAAAATAATAAAACATTCGAAAAAAGTCCCTTGAAATACATTTATCTGTAAAATAATTGTTAATAAAATACAGAGTTGGCCAAATTATTATAAAAGTTATTGAAGGAGACAAAAAAGTATTTGTGGCCATAGATATTAACAATAAACTGTGTGTACAAATATTACTATCGCAACTTTTCTTGAAAGAAGGATTAAAGAAATGCGGGTAGAGTTGTGGTATTAATTACAAAATCCTTCTCTAAATTTTATGAAGTAATGGCAATCTCTGGAGAACCTGTCATGCCTTCAAAACTTTCTTAATAATTTGCTTTCTGACTTTCTCGGAGTTCCGAGGTATTTACTGGGTTGATGAATCTTCACCTGCTTTAGTCATTTATTTAGATTTTTGGGAAAAAATAACCGACAGAAATTATTCTTCAATCGAAAATAGTTTTTTTTTCGCGCTAGTGAAGATGTATTTGGAATGTTCTCATCAGTGCTCACTGCGATCTTTTGCCTTAACTGTTTATGGTGCCAGAGAGGGTGAAACAAGGTCATTGTTCACGAAACGTTGCACGATTAATATCTATTTATTTATAACCATCTTATTCATATTTAACACATTTGTCGTAAGTCATGTTGAAATTTAGTTTATAATCCATTCTTTCAATTTCAGAGTTTAACAAAAGACAAATTAGTTTTTTATAAGCTAGAGTGAACGGCTTTATTTTCTTCACTCCTATATAATTATAGATTGAATATTTCCTATTGGATTCATGTCGGGGATATTTGCAGGCAATTGAAGCACAGACTGTTCAACGTCTTATAATTTTAAACTTTCTTTTCTATTGTAGCATGGAGCACTGTCATGCATGAATATGAATGGATTTTTTCCAAAACCCTCATTTGTTTGAGACGATCATTGGTTCTAGTCGATCTGTAGGTATTGGTCGTACCTCATCATATCATTAACTGGTTCTACATTTCCAGTACCATTAACAAGCGTTACATTTCAAACTATTACCTTTTTTCAGGTGCTAACCTGGATACATAGTAATCCGTTAAGTGATGGAAAAGTATTTACTATAATGATAAATAAATAAAGATATTGTCAGGTATCAATATTTTTTAATTCAACTTATGATCATTTCGATCGCGTAGCGATCATCCTCAGAGCTAAAATGTGAAATACAAATATTATTAACAGGTTATTTGTGTTTCACATTTTAGCTCTGAGGATGATCGCTACGCGATCGAAATGATCATAAGTTGAATTAAAATATTGATACCTGACAATATCTTCATTTATTTATCATAATAAAAAGGTATCTACTTCACCAACAAACCAATTAATTTACTATAATGTTTTGGTCTACTATACTAAAACCTTTGTGTTAAAACCTTAACGGAAAACTATTTTTAAGTGAATATTGAGGTTTGTTTTCCGCGAGCGATTTGAATGGGGCTGATGGCGCGGTTGGCTGCGCAGGTGCCGGGGCTCGAGGGCCGCGCGGGCATGGCGGCCATCGCGGACCCCTCGGACACGCTGGACGTGCCCAAGTTGGCGGACGGGCTGCGCCAGGCGCTGCCGCCTTACGCGCGCCCGCAGTTCCTGCGCCTGCTGCGCAAGGTGGACCTCACAGGTGCGCAATGAAACGTCGCTCCTCACGGCTCCACAGTGCTCCTCTGGGCTTCTGTCTTCTCCGCTCCGCTGTGTTCTACTTTGTTCCCCTGTGCTCTCCACTACACTTCTTCCGCTCTGCTACACTCAGCATCACTCAGCATCACTCTGCTCCGCTCTGGTTTCGCTGTGGTTCTCCTCTGGTTCTCCTCTCCGTTTCTCTCCTCTCCGTTTCTCTCTTCTCCGTTTCTCTCTTCTCCGTTTCTCTCTTCTCCGTTTCTCTCTTCTCCGTTTCTCTTCTTCTCCGTTTCTCTTCTTCTCACTGTTGCTCCGACTGCAACACGTGGACAGACATTGGTTCACCCACTGCACCTGGTTTTTATGTTCACGTACATCTGCGGCTACACACTCAATTTTTCTTTGATCCATATTTAACAATCTCTGGCTGCCCCCCTTTTTTTCATATCAAACGTATTTGTAATGCATGTAAAATTGAGATAATACAGAATCAGTTACGTTCATGTCAACAACGCGCCTTTCGATCTGTAGATGTGATCTGTAGGTGGTTCAACTATTGTTTGACTTCTCTCCTCCTCCTTGTTAATCCTCCTGTTACATTGTTGGAACATTATTGTTGTAACCGTATAAAATCAAAATTCGCGCGCGTTTCTACTCCATTATTCTCTTCAATATACTCAAACGTACACGTTCTATAGAGACCATATAAGCATGTTATAAATTTTCTAAATGCTAAATCAGTAATTCTTGGCCAAGGCGAATACACAACTTTAGATGGTTTGAAAAACTGTACTTAACTGCTGTTCGCAGTCTCAGAATTAAAAGATGTCATCCCACACTTTTGATGGAAATTATGTTTTTACATCTTCAAACTCATTGTTGTCTGACCAACTGAAACAATGTGCAAATCAGAACTTGTAGAAAACCGTCTAAGAACAAATTTACATAGTTTAATTGGTAATTTTATGTTTTTTATGTACAGCTCCGAAACTTCAATATACTGTCGATCAAAATTTGCCCAAGCTTGGAACTTGGTAATTCTTGTCATTATATTTGTGGTTAAGACAAGGAAGTACCGCTGGAATTAAGTCTATTTAGTTTTCAGTCTTCTTATGATGTAACTTTTCTTAATTTCTCTTCCATTCACATTCAATATAATACTACCTGGTTCCCATGCAAACCCGTACTATTAAAAATCTGCAAACATTTGTAGGAGCGCGATGATTAGCGAAGTGTCCCATATTCCCTGAACACAGAAATTCCCTCTACCAGCTTTTTTCTCAATTAAACTATACTGCTTTTTGTCTCTAAATGGGGTCTCATAATGCAATACACAAATGTTGAGGGTCCCAAATCACTTCTTGCCAGTGCATATCCTGTGGGAAATTTAATGTAACGAAGTTACATATGTTGTTTGCCCCTGTTTTGTAGGCAACCCATCATGCGTTTGTGTTTAGCGGGTATTCGAATTCCGGCTTACTCGGAAGCATGACCTGCCAAACACCAACGCATTTGGGGACAACTTATAATCTCTTACCCCCCACCCGCAACATATCCCCCCCCACACACACACACACTCCTGTATTCCTAATTTTTTGGAACATTTATTATACAAGTGTACTATTGGAGGTAATCAGACCACAATAAAAAACGTTCAAAAATTGTATTAACCCATATTACACTGAACGCCAAACTAGTTTCGAGGGACATTCCCGATCTTCAGTGGTACAACATAAGCAACGTATTATCTAAAACAAACATTGTATAAATTTAAAAACAAACATTTTTAAAAAACAAATATAAATGACTAATTTAAGAGAAAAGATAATACTTAGTTTGAAACTAGTTTGGTGAATGATGTAAGAAGTGATAAATACTTTTTGAACGTTATTCATTATGATCTGATTATCTTTAATAATACATCTGAATTATAAATTACCACAAGATCTCGGCTGAAACCACGAAGACATTTATTGTTTGTATTTAACCTGTATTTGTATGCACACCAAAACTGGCCGTTAGTACTCTTGTCGTTGACCTATTTGTATCACATGCGCGCGGGGGCTGTTGCAGGCACGTTCAAGCTGAAGAAGAAGGACCTGCAGGAGGAAGGGATGGACCCGCAGCGCGTGGCGGACAAGCTGCTGTACCTGGACGGCGCGTCCGGCCGCTACGAGGCGCTGACGTCCGACGCGCACGCGCGCATTCTGGCGGGCGCCATCCGCTTCTGAGCGCGGGCGGGCGGCGCACGCGGCCAATGGCATCGGCAGCCCACGCATTCGCTTTCTAAGACTGAAACTCGGCGGCGATTCCTTGACCAAGAATTGAATTAAAGTGTACTTATAATAAAGATTCAGAATGAACGTGTGTCGCGCGACCGAGCCGGACGCGCGCAACAATCGCGTGGGTTTGCGAATTTGGCTAGCGATCTCATTGGTGGTTTCCGCCGTAACCAGACGCGCGGGAAACTACGTATTTGTACCACGCGGGCGCCCAGCAACTTCATCATCTCCATTTCATATACATCTCTCCCCCACACCCACATTTTTACACTTGTTACGTATATTATGTATAAATGACATGGTCATTGTTATGGATTGACGGATTTGTTATTGGCTCATCTTAGGAAATATTATTTAATAAATATTATATATTTTGTACCACTGCGTTTAATTTCTACACTCGTGTGCGTTGAATTAATGCCTTATTTTACGTGGCGAAACTCGGGCCATCAGGCCCGCTCTTCCGTCTGACCACGCAAATTTCGCCACACTCCTTTCACCAACTAGCGGAGAAAGGAGGGTATTTTTTGGGCGTTTGAATTTATTTCAGAGGCGTCATTCAGTTTTGATCTTTTACATGCAAATAACGTGGAACAGCAGGCTTTACTCGTTCAGCAACATTGCTATTAATTTGCCTTGTAAACACCGTTTATTCCTTCATAAGGATAAGTCTAAAAAGGGTTTGAGATAGAAAGGTAAGTTAAGGAGCGCGAATCTCTTCGTGCTCGTATTGCGTATACTGGTTTTAACAATGTGTGTAAAAGATGTTTCTGGGTTTCGCACACGCTTCGTAATGATTCTCACACTATTAGTTATAATGAAATATCAGTTGAGCTCACAAAAAAGCACGAAAAAGTGTTTCGCGTATGGCATATTAAAAATATTTTTTTAACACCAAACTCTATTTCTCGTGCTTCTTTTATGTGTGCTAAACAGAACTTTTTCACCATGTACGAATCACGAAGCTTGGAATATAGGGAGATGTCACGACTCTCTCACAAACGTGAAGCCACTGAACCGTTATGTTGCTGTACCCAAAACGCTCGTAGAAGTCCTCGTATTGACCTGTGTTTTTGTCATAGTTTTTAATATTTAAAATACATGATTAGATCAGAAAGCTTTCATAATAGTTCTTTATGGTAACGTGTACGGCTGATTGCTTTACAATGTTTTTGGGAAAGGGGTGAATTACTTTTGTCGTGTAAGTAATTATTATTATTATTATTATTATTATTATTATTATTATTATTATTATTATATCGTTTGGAGAATATAGTAAAATTTGAAGATACTGATTAATTTCTGATTCTTCTGATTCGTGATTTTTCTCTTCATAGCAAAGAGGAGAGCACTATGGATATGTTGTACAAAGAGGCATCAGGCAGCCTAATTCATACACCAAGTTATGCTCGCTTAATATTCAAGAAGATTTTTGATACAACTATATGATACGTACGTTTGTGGAAACTCGTTGTTCCAGCCATTTTAGCTGCTTTCTACCTCACCTAACAGAAGTGAATTGTGCAAGATAAATTATTGATTGGAGATATATTCAAAAGGATAACTAACATTATTTTTGGCGTTTTCTACAAAGAATCCCGAAACATTTGCGCAGTGTTGACATACATTGTATTACTGGCCCGCCTACAAACTCCAAACTTTAGGACCCAACTTTTTTGATTTCAGATTAGAGTACTTAATGTTTAAGTTAGAAAATGGTGAAATAAAAACGTAACAGTACAGAATAACAATGTGCTTTCTTAATAATTTATTTAGTATGCTAGCCAGACCTCGAATATTGAGACAACATTAATTCTAAGAATATTTCGTAATAATTTGTGCATCTCAAGCTCCTTCACATTGTCAGCATAGTTACGTTTTTTATTATTTGCATACATTTTGTGAGAAATATCAAAGGCAGAAGAAGCACTTTTAGTAATGTGGTATTCTTGGCGTTTTAAATTTGAGGTTAGTTTGGTTATCACGCACTGAAAATACTTAAGTGACCCCACAACTTGTAATGAAGCCACTCCGTTTTAGTTAGTTAATACTCTTCGACATTCCGAAGATTATTAAATTTCCTTTGAGAAATGGGCATTGTCCATTTACTGTCGTATTTGACAGACTTGTTTTGGGTACACACATATGGCGAACTGGCGTGTTTTTCCGACATAAGGTTCGACTCCGAAATTTGCAGCATTACATATCTATACTAGGTTTATATACCCCCTGAATACAAGAATTCTTTTTTTTCATAGGATTGGTATCCAGCCAACAGCCAGTTGCCTTTTACGGCCCGACGGGACGCATTTCGACCATGCACTAAACACCCACATTTGCGGGCACTTCTGGAATGGGATCAGAACAAAGCGAGTCCCTCCGCGACAACATTCTTGAGAGACAATGGACAAACTACTGTGGCGTCATACGGGTGTAATCGAACACAGACGAGAGTGGTTTCCAAAACAGTAGATTTATTAACATTCTAGACAGAAGTCTCAATTTAACTACCCTGCTTACAATTAACTAAATAAATAGACCCACTACAAGGAGAGAGAATTTAAGAACAGCTACCACACCGCAACATACCACCGATGTTCCCTGTATGAAGCCGCTCTACTTCGAGATCATCTACGTAGCGTCTCGCAAGTCATGACAATGAATTGCCGGCCCCTCGCCCTAGAGCACCTACACGCACAGACACGCGCTTCACCTGTCGCTGACGCCGCTAGAACAAGAAGACTGGGGCATTGTTCCCCTGACCTTGTATAGGCCCTTTTGGCTCTACCCGCCGCCCCCATTGCCTCCTCTCCAAAGCCGCTCTGGGCCCGCTACGTCCACGGAAAGTCCCAGTGCGTCTTCACTCCGCCCTTTGTTTAACATCCGGCGATGCTTCGCCGATTTCCACGTGGTTGTCTGTTTTGAGCGTGGCACGACGCTACACCACCATGCCCAAGGCAGGACTCGAACACGCGACCCTTCGGACGGAAGCGCTGAGTCGGCTCACGGGCTTAGGGTACGCACACGTAGAACGCAGGTTTCCGGCGCCGAATGACGTCACACATACAGCCAGATTGCACCATGTTATCGAATTGTGGCGGACACAACGAACGCTCGCCGAAAGTTATCGGCGCGCAGTCGTTAATTTGGGCCAGCGTCCGGAACTTCTAGGAGTCTCGGCGCACTGGCTGCACACGCTGGTTTTCAGTCGAATCGTGGCTTAGGTGCGTGTGTTCACAGGAATCAAAATGTATATAGAACATTTTTGATTTCGAAGGTGCTTGTGAGGCTCGCTGGGTGGGATAAATGGACAAAAGACGCATGAAGAAATGTAGAAAAGTGCTGGAAATAAAATTCTGCTTATACGAAAAAGTATACATCTACAAAATTTCAAATATATTACCTTAAGTGATATTAAAGGTAACATTGAGTGAAACATTAATCCATCAAATCTATAGAAACTAATCGAAATTTTGGTTTTCAGAAGCATTTACTAATTTTTGTGAGTACGCAATGAAATACATATACACGAACTTAAGGAAAACCTCTCCCATAATTGATGAATTGGATGGTCGTTCTGTACATTGCCTTCTAATGAGTGTGAATCGCTCAATTTATATTTATCAAGTGAATATATTTTTAAAATTAAACTACTACAAAATTATTCTACTTTGCACTGGGCTCAGGGTATCTCTCGTCGGGCCTAAGTTGACGCGTCAGCAAACAACACTCACTCATGTAATTAATAACTTCATTAAATAAATATTATTTAAATGTGTAACATTAGTCGTTGTAGTGATTGATAAAACATAAATTTATTTTGTTTCAAAGAGTTCATTATAAAGAAGTGCCAAATTTAGAAAGTTTTCACTCTACTGCTGGTTGACGGCCACAGCGTCAGCAAGGTTCTTTGAAACCAGTTATAATCCCCATTTGTGTTCTAATAACCTAGCAAGTTTTTTGCTGGTTACCTTCAGTGAGAATGCAAGTCAACCAATTATGGTTATCTCCAGTGAGAATCCGCAAGCACAGTGGATGGCCAAAAGTACAACTGATGAAAGCTCCGCTCCACAGAGCTAAGAATGTTATCACACGAAAGAGTGGAGCAGTGGGACCTATTATTTCTCAGAACATTTTTTCTTCAATCATGTTTCATATTGTTAGATTTTCTTATACATGAGGTAAAATGACAATAAAATGATTTTAATTGTTCATCTTTTGGGAATGATGTATTGCAGAAATGCTTAACCACTTCTATTGAAGTACTTTTATGAAATTATCAAACCTTGGCTTACTGATGTAGGCAATTGTTCATTTCGTCCTGAGATATCGTAACGAAAACAATTCAAGAACATAAATAAACAATATTTTTTAAATATAATAAAATTTAAAAACAAATATTTTAGCAATTATTGCAATTTATTGTTATATATTTTGGTAGTTTTAGCGACATATTTTGTGGTTTTACTTTGAAACGTAACTGAAACAAAATAATGAACAATTGTCAATACACCATGCAATTATTATTTGAGATATTATTAAGACTTTCATAAATTTATTTCTTTGGAGCCATGAAATGAAAGTCTCTGGAATAAATACTGGGCAGAACAACTTTGCAATTACCATATGTTGACTTGCAGTTGTTGCAGCGAGGTCCTTTGTACTGTAAAAGGAAGTGAACTTTTAGACAGCCCCCACCCTCCATTTTCTAATAGCACTTCACGCTTTGCCAAAAGTTGCCTTCCTGAAAAGTTATTATAAGTTCTCTCTAAATCTCAATTACCCCAGTCTGTGTCCTCCATAGAGACAGGAAAAGCAAGAAACACCTCAATAGAGTTTATTGAATTCAAAGAGTTTTAGGATACTTCTCCCTCGATACCCTAAAATATTTTTTTAATATTCATGTTTAATTTAATAATATTTGTATTACAACTCTCTTTGATTTGAGATGACGGACAGTTCTGACGTGCTCTGAAATGTTTCGAGAATTCATCCTCTCGCTATTGTGATAAATCAGCTGACTGACAAAAACAAAATCTTTCTGCTGTGATACCTGACATCAGGATTCATTTGAATTCTTCGAAATAAATGGAAAAAACGAACAGTTGTTCTTGTAGCACAAATTCAATAGGGAAGAAATGGGTTAGGATCATATACATTATCCAGGGGGAGTGTCCAGGGAGGAAACTTTGCAAATAAGTTCTTAAAACAATTTTGTCTAAAAAAACTACGTGGATATTGTGAATGGTTGATCCGCAATAAGCACTCAAAAGTTGGTTTGAAAGAATGCTTTCTAGGTAAAAATTTGTATTGCAGAAGCAAAGAAACTCTCCAGAAACATGTAAATTGTTTATTATTTCTAAAAAAGTAATATATTTGTCAAGAATGAAACATTAACACAGTAGTAAAAACGTACCTAATTTACACAATTCGCATTTTTATTTCTCGCTTAATTTTTCTTTCTGAAGAAATGTATTAATTTCTTTGTAAATAATAACCAGTTTACATGTTTTTGGAAAGTTTATAAGCTTCTTCAATGCATTGTGGCCTAGAAAGCAGTTGTTTAAACAATATTGTGACTGCTTATTGCGGCTAAACCATTCGGAATATACACGTAGTTCATTAGACAAAGCATGCTTAAAATTGTCTTAAGAGCATATTTGCGAAGTTTCGCTTTTCCTCCGCGGACATCCGGTGTACGATTAGACGGAGATTAGACAATAAATTAATGTTTTTTGTTATTCTGTTACTATTTTCTGTACACATCCTCCGTTTTTACACACTTAATTGTTTCTGTACACATTCTCTAGTTTGAGTGAAATAATTCCACCAAATTATTAAAAAATGAAATACTGAGTGCATAAGAAGCTAATGAGTATTTCTAAAAATGTTTTTATTCGACCGATGTGCTCCTTTTTTTCAACATTTGATCATCGAAAATGCTTCTTCATTTGATATCAAATATATACACTGTTTAGGTATCGTTTTGTCTTAAGTCCGGAAAATCTTCGTTGGCGCGACCTAGTAAAATTCCTTTTCAAAATTTGCCTCACATGTTCATATTGAACATACAGCAAAGTCTAAGTTTGTACATTAATAGTTATCCATTTTCAGCTCCAGAGTATAAGTATTACTTAATTTGCACATTATCAAAAATACCTAAACATGATATGAGTAACAATATTTTCCCATAGGAAAATGTCCTCGCAATCATAATCAAAATATTTAGCATCATGTAATGAATGCACTGCTGAAGGTTACGACATTCCTATCACTACAGGAAACTGTGTGTGCGAAGAAATTATTGACTGTTTACTTACTTGAATCTAGTTGCTGTAATAAGCAGCTGCTTACCAGAGGCACCGTTGCCTCCTAATGTTGACATACCTGTCGGCAGAGGTGTCTCAGGGCTTCAAATGATGCCAATGGTGGGCTTCAGATCGAGAGATCCGAGGATTCGACTCCCGACGGTGGCAGAATTCTCGACACTAGCTACATAGCTAGGTCGAATTCAGCCGGTGACTGGAAGAGAATTGTAACGGCCTACTGCTCTAATCGGTAGTTTTCCGTGGTTTCTCCGATCAATCAGACGAATGCCGGGGCAGTACCCTAACGAACGGGCCACGGACCGCACGCGATATTTCCCTCTTCTTTGTCCTATCCTCGGCCATCACTTACATACACTTACATGCTTCCTAGGTGAGCAGTAGGGGTCTTAGATTTTGTTCCGATTGGGATGGTGTCCCTCTGCTGGTAGATACCTGGTTGGGGAAAATCCCCCATGCCGAAGGATAGATCGGCGCCGGAGATAGCAATCCAGATTGTCGCAATCCAGACAGCCCGCAATCCATCGCAGATCGCAATCCAGACAGCCCCTTCCCGAGATAAAAAACATGCACTACACTTACAGAAGTAATTATACTGTCCTGCAAATTTAAGATTTCCAATTATTGCCGAATTGCTGATTCCGGATCAGAAGTACCTTTATATCTATCACATCAGGTTGTTTTTTTTTTGTTTTTTTTTTTTCATAATCAAAATGAAAATAAAGGCTGAGGGACACGCGCACAGGCAAGTTTACTATTAATTTATTATCATATGTAAGGCATGCTTATTTCTTATTATTTTTACTCATCCAAACACTATTATATTATACATGTATGACCAAATCACAGAAATTGTAATGTATTGCGTATACTGATTTGAAGAACAATCCAGTTAAAATGGACCAAATGACTCAAAATGTATTGATAATCCTTAGGCCATGGTTTCAATTTTGTATCACCTTAACTTAATTTAAAAAACTTCTTTGCTTGCTTTTTGCGTGTGAGATGTAGTTGGATCATCTCCCTTTAGTAACCAACCGAAATATGCAAGCACGTTTTGGTTCCATTTCCCTTGATATCAACGTTCCAATTCCTTTAGATCCTGGTGAAATCTATCTCCTTGCTCTTCGCGTATCATTTCTAGATTCTAATGGAAATAGTCCAGATGTGAATGTAACATATGCACTTTTAAGCTCATTTTGCAGGAAAGTCTTCGCAATATCTGTACCGATAGTACATCGTTTCTGGTACCAACACGTTCCTTTCGTGAAATGTAGACCCGAGTATCTCGGCAGATTTCTTTGCGAGTCCAAAATATAAAGATTGCCAACTTTTTTTAGAGTATCTCTCGATTTTCTAGAAACGTGGTGTAATCTGTAGCTAGATTGTTTGGAATCATGTAGATACAAAATAAAATACTTTTTATCGTAGGAAGATGAACGATACCTTTTTTTAAAATCATCTGATTGTAAGTAGATATGTATTCCGTCAATGAGATAGAATATATATCATTTTTAACGAAAATACAAGAATCTCCATATGCAGAACCATTACCTCGTTCTCTTTTTCTACAACAATATCCTGCAAGATAAAAATTGGAAATTTGGAAACTGCGATGATCATTATGACGTGACCACTGTTCTGCAAAGCAAAGAATAACTATTTTATTTAAATATTGATAGAGATTGAATAGTCTGAAGTGTGTGAATCTTTTGCAGTGTATTAATATTCTGCAGAATGTGAATCTTATGCATTATATAAATCTTCTGCAGGTACTTTTCATGAATGTTTTTATGCTGCTTCTGGCTGTAGTCGCTATATTATTTACTCCATTTTTACCGCGAGTGCGTGGACGAAGGTTGTAACGTGTCCCAGCAGTAACAGATTGCAAGGATATTACGGCATGAGGTGGAAGTAATTGGTACTAGAAACGAGAGAAAAGGCGAGTAGATTCAGAGCAGGAGGTAAGAGGTTTAGTGTAACTTCAATTAATACTCGCAAAATACAACCAAACAAAAGTTTTTTTTATGTTCAAGTCATACTACTTTTCTAAGTTAGAATTTCAACATAAATTCTGTAGGCTTCCTTGGTGCGCTGTGTTTCCTTCCTGTTGTCGCCGCCATGGCTCATGGGGGGAAGTCGCACGTTTCCCCTGCGTGCCACCGTGTTCCTCCAACACGTCCCTCGGCCCTCCAGATTAGGCCGCACCACAAACGAGCGTCGACTCGCTCAAGACCCGAGTCGCGTCGATCCTACGTTCCCGCGGCCGGCGATGGACGGTCGGTCTCGGGCACCAACAGTTCGTGGCAGGGCCGTCTCCAAGATCCGATGGCGACACTTTCGGTCGCCGTGGCTTCAAAGCTTCGCCACCACTCGGCGACTTCAATGGCTCCTGTGAGTCGGGGTCTCCTCTGACGGTCAGGCTGCCTCCTTGACTTCGACTGCTTGCGTAACTGCGTGGCTTGACCGCTGACTGGCCCCATTGGCAGGCTGCCTCCTTGACTTCGACTTCATGCGTAACTGCGTCTCTTAACCGCTGACTGGCCCCATTGGCAGGCTGCCTCCTTGACTTCGACTGATTGCGTAACTGCGTGGCTTGACCGCTAACTGGTCCAATTGCCAGGCTGCCTCCTGGACTTCGACTGCTTGCGTAACTGCGTGGCTTGACCGCTAACTGGCCCCATTGGCAGGCTGCATCCTTGACTTCGACTTCATGCGTAACTGCGTGGCTTGACCGCTAACTGTCCCCATTGGAAGGCTGCATCCTTGACTTCGACTTCATGCGTAACTGCGTGGCTTGACCGCTAACTGGCTTCATTGGCAGGCTGCCTCCTTGACTTCGACTGTTTGCGTAACTGCGTGGCTTGACCACTGACAGGCTCCATTGGCAGGCTGCCTCCTTGACTTGGACTGCTTGTGTAACTACGTGGCTTGTCTGCTAACTGGCTCCCTTGCAGGCTGCCTCCTTGACTTGCACTGCTTGTGTAACTGCGTGGCTTGATCGCTGACAGGCTCCATTGGCAGGCTGCCTCCTTGACTTCGACTGCTTGCGTAACTGCGTGGCATGTCAGCTAACTGGCTCCCTTGCAGGCGTCCTCCTTGACTTCGACTGCTTGCGTAACTGCGTGGCTTGACCGCTGAGTGGCTCCCGTATCGAGCTGGCCCTTTGACTCCCGTAGCAGAGTGCACTCAAGCAGGCCTATCTAGTGGGCGCTGCCGTCGGCGCAGACTCGCTCTACGCCCGCGCGCTGGTGTCACGTGTCGCTGCTGCTAGCTACGCGCCGCTGCTGCTAGAGCGCACTGCTTTCCCGTGTGCGTGCCCAGTGGCGCGCGTAGACACCAGTTGGAAATAGGTGTGGGGGTGGAGGAAGTAAGGAAGGTGAAGTGGATGGGCTTTTAGCAGGCGACAGCGTGGGAGTAGAGTTGATGATATGTCGTGTCAGCTCACCACCTTGCGTATGTTGTTCAGCTAGTTTTATAAGGAAACCATGCAGGTTAAAATGTTGAACTGAGAGAAAATTAATTTTAATTAGTGTGAAATGTATTTCTCTCTAGTCGCAGTGTTAGTTGGTGTTAGACATCAGGTACCTAACTAGCTGGAATTCAACCACTGTCTGGAGGAGAATTCTAGTGGCAAGCTCCTCTGATCGTAATTTCCCGTGATTTCTCCGATCAACACTAGGCGAATGTCGAAGGAATACCGTAACAAACGTGTCGCGCGCGATCTTCCCTTCCTCATCCTTTTTTATTATCTCCCCTTACAAATACTTACACTTACACATACTTACACTTACGTACTCTACACTACCAGACATGTCGGGAAAGTAGTTATGAGCTTAGAATTTGTACTGGCAAGCCGACAATCATGTTGTTCAGTGCGCGATTTCAACATTTAGCGGGGAAGAAATCACTGCCGCATCCTGGACCTACACCAATGGAACTAATGATCACAGCAATTGACGCGCCTGGGAACATCAATCAATCAATCAATCGTCCACGTGTCTTCTCACTTCTCCCGACTGGCTGATTCAGCAAAAATTAAAATATTTTAATTAAAACCGAAAAGCTCAACTAGATCTTACTTCTAGTGGCTTTACCAAGTTTCAGCTCACAAGCTTCTAATCTCATCAAGTTATGCGTGACGCATACTTCAACTCAACTATACAGGGAGATGTGGTTCAGGGTATCATCTGATGTTACAGCAGAGCCTCTGACCGGGAGGTACTAGGTTAGAGTCCCGATGGTGGCAATATTTTCAACACTAGCTTGTCAGCTAGGTTGAATGCAGTCGCTATCTGGAGAAGAATTCTAGAGGCTGGCTGCCAGGTGAATTTCGGAGTAGTACCCTAACAAACGGGACACGGATCGCACACGATCTTTCCTTCTCCTTCCTTGTCCTATCCTCACCTCCTACACACACTTATACTAAACACACATGCACAATACTACCACTCGTGCCTGGAGACCTGTAGGGATCTTGGAGCTTGTCCCGTCTAGGGCGGTGCCTGCTGGTGGGATATACTGGTTAGAGAAACCCCGATATTCGATGGCGCCGGATCTTGCCATTCTGCGGGTCTACTGAACTTAGCCCTCGACGCGTCCTGAATCAATAACAATAAATCAATCCATTCACTTATTCAGATACCCCATTTTTAAGGCACAAATGTATGTGTACCTCCACGATACCAGCACCAAACGTATTAACTAACTTTGGAGCAGTACTAATAAACTTTAATCCTAATGTGTTTGCGAAGTTACAGATAAAAGAACTTCAAACACGAAATTAGAGATCATATTGTTGAGGAGATACCAATACTTCTCTCTCCTAAATATAGTTTAGGAATGAAAAGCGTGAAGGCGTGTCTAGCTTTAAAATATTTGTTAACGTCTTTTTTTGCAGTAATCAGAACACACGATTTCTATCTGAACATCCTCTTCAGAATTACAAACAACTCAGGAGCTGATCTATGGATAAACTAGTGGTACAATAGAAGGACACAGACTTTCCCGTATTAGTTTTCTATTTCCTTTGGTCTCGTTTAGCTACACGAACTTGTCACATACTGTCACATACTCTTGCCAACTGCCAGCTATCTCCGCCCAAAATTATATATATATATATATATATA